ACACCCCCCACCTTTAATAAAAAAGAAAAAAAAAAGCCCCCCACCCCCCCCAAAAAAAGGAAGGAGAAATAATAGGCCTTGTCAAGTACAGAAGCTTCTAAAGCAACGAATTTCCCCCATTCCCTGTAATTCAAATAAAATGACGTGGAAGACCCTAGTTTTAGTCATTCAACTACTGCAACTATTTGCAAACCTTAACCTAATCACACAAGCTACGAACATTGTTCTAAGCAGATGGAAATGTAAATAACCAATATCATGCCCAGTAAAGAATTAGTTTGGACAATTGTAAACACATTTATTCAAATCTTTGTGATCCTTTCTGTAACAAAGAAAAAATCCTGTAAACAAACATATTTACCGAAAAATAAAGATAAAAATGAAACATAAATTGCAGCCAATACCAATATTTATCAATTTCTTCCCACCTTAAACCTATCTCATGGTAAGCTATTGGCAATTTTTAACAAAACCGCCCTGTTGGTCACAATCTAAGAAGCATAGATATGGATAAAGGACACCGATACGGAACGATACAGATAGGACATAGACACATTGGGGACATGTTACAAATGATTAATTTTGTTTACCAACGTATATAATATATATTCATAGGAGATTGACTTCCTGCTTGATGACAAGTACAGAAATATATCTAGTCAAGTCAATTAGTGTGAATTTTTTGATTAAAAGATCAGAATAGTTAATAATCATTAATAATCATTTGATTGGCTAGTGTAAAGCTTATAAAAGATGTTTTCTGAAAAAGGAGGCATGCATCATATAACACCAATAAATAAGTTGGGTCAACTTACCACCACTCGATTTCAGGAAGTGGATCCTTTGGTTTTTCTTTGGTGATAACTCTCTCTGATACCTCTATCAGATTTGGATTTATACCATGCTCTGCCTTTGCCTTTGCCAGCTGAGCTTGCTTCACCTTTAAGTCCTTGGCTTGTGCTTCTCCAAGGTGACTCTGCGAAAGCAAGTGGAAACAAAAAATCAAAACAGGTTTAATATGAAGGGAGAGACCAGGATAGGAAGAAACTACCTTCAATTTAATGTGCTCAGCCTCTTTTGACCATTCGCCTTCCTCTACAAACTGAAGAGATGCCCTCTTGGGCCTCAAAAGCTTATTTTTATTGATACCCATCCTTGGATCAAAATGAGGGTTTTCGTCAGGATCAACATCCAGCTCAGGTTGGAGTATTTGGAAAGCCTATTTTTTCTGCTTATTGATGTTGACCTGGATTGTTGAATGAAAGTCAGAGCTAAGCACTTAAATAACAAAATCGTAAAAACTATGGGAANNNNGACATGTTACAAATGATTAATTTTGTTTACCAACGTATATAATATATATTCATAGGAGATTGACTTCCTGCTTGATGACAAGTACAGAAATATATCTAGTCAAGTCAATTAGTGTGAATTTTTTGATTAAAAGATCAGAATAGTTAATAATCATTAATAATCATTTGATTGGCTAGTGTAAAGCTTATAAAAGATGTTTTCTGAAAAAGGAGGCATGCATCATATAACACCAATAAATAAGTTGGGTCAACTTACCACCACTCGATTTCAGGAAGTGGATCCTTTGGTTTTTCTTTGGTGATAACTCTCTCTGATACCTCTATCAGATTTGGATTTATACCATGCTCTGCCTTTGCCTTTGCCAGCTGAGCTTGCTTCACCTTTAAGTCCTTGGCTTGTGCTTCTCCAAGGTGACTCTGCGAAAGCAAGTGGAAACAAAAAATCAAAACAGGTTTAATATGAAGGGAGAGACCAGGATAGGAAGAAACTACCTTCAATTTAATGTGCTCAGCCTCTTTTGACCATTCGCCTTCCTCTACAAACTGAAGAGATGCCCTCTTGGGCCTCAAAAGCTTATTTTTATTGATACCCATCCTTGGATCAAAATGAGGGTTTTCGTCAGGATCAACATCCAGCTCAGGTTAGAGTATTTGGAAAGCCTCTTTTTTCTGCTTATTGATGTTGACCTGGATTGTTGAATGAAGGTCAGAGCTAAGCACTTAAATAACAAAATCGTAAAATGAAAACTATGGGAAACAGACGTCAACATGAGCAGGAAACATATAACAAACCTTCAGGGTACTCAGGTTGTTTAACTTGCGCATATTTACAAGGTTCCCATGCTCATCAATTTCCCTGCCCAGTGCATCCAAAAGAAGAACAGGGGTCTTGGCAGGCTTCGGCTGGACGGGAACCTCTGCTGGCATCAGGCCAGGAAACATGTTCATCAGGGTATCAAACTCTGGGTCTTGTTGAGATACCATCTTGGCAGCAAGCTCTTGTGCACGTTGAATCACTGCATAGTTTTGTGCGGTAAGCCCAGTAAGATGAGACATGTCACTCCCAGGTGGTGTCACAGAAGCTGCAAAAGCTGACACATTTGATGTTGCTCCAGCAAGAACAGGAAGAGCGGCAGTTACGGAGGAGACAGGTGTGGAAATTATTCCTGAACAAGGAAATGAGGCTTTGGAACCCTCCTTTGATCCAACTTGTGAACTACCGTCTATGCTTGAGCCAGCGCCCTTGTTTAACTGGATAATCAAAATGATAACATGTCACCAATTACATCTCAAAGAAAATAGCAAATTGTTTCTTTTTAAATTACAAGGAAAAATGCTACCAAATGAAATGCTAAAGTTTCTCTCAACAGACAGAATGCCAAAGTTTCTTGACAATAAGCAAGCTAGAATGACGAAAGCAATTCTTAACATGGTATATCAAAATGATTTTTTGGGCTTAGTAGTATAATCAAATCTATACCATCATGTCACCCATAACATAATGAGAAAAAAAGCTAATTTTTTCTTTGTATCATGCATGGAAAAATGCTCATAAACAAAATGCTAAAGTTTCTTGACAATAAGACAGCTAGAATGAAGCAAATCATAAATGTTGTAAATAAGTATCTTGATTTTTTTATTATCAACCCACCTGAGGAATCTTCTTCAACTTTTCTGAGAGCTCCTTCTGCATTTGTAAAGCTCTCTTGGCTTTTGCTAAAGCATCAAGAGAAAACCCTCTACTCTTGCCAGCATCAGAAGCCGTCCCATCTGTACTGGATTTCGCAGGAACCTCATGAGATCTGTTAATACTAACTCTTATTTTCATTTGTGGTAGAAATCGAAGATACCTTGGTTTAGGTGGGGTGGCTAGGGGCCATGGATGTCTCCAGCAGAGTCCTTGACGCTATATTGAGTGGTTCCAGCCCAGCACCCTGTAAGTAGAACAAGTCAAATGCACAAGTCAGGACTCACACTGCAAAGATGTCACCAATCAAATTTACAACAGAGTATATACTAGTTGTGTTAGTAAAATTTTGACATACAGATAATCCATTGTAACAGATGCTGTCAGCCAATTCTAACCCGTCTTTGTGTCATGAGATGACAAGCACAATATCAACGGCCCATTTTAATTCAAGTCATGCGACACAAGAAGACAAACACGGTATTACAGACAACTCACAATAAAGAAGAAAAATCAGAAGCTGAGACAAATATTCAATGTATATAACAACATGCAAGTCGCCAAGAACATCAACATTGAAAATGCAATTAGGATACCTCATTATCAAAATCTGCTCCCCCATGAAAGGTGTATTTGGGGTAAATTAGTAATATATACAAAGGAAATATATCAAAATTCGAATTTGTAAAATATAAGATATCTAATTCAAGTTCGGATAATCCGTAAAAAACATCGATCTATATTCGACTAATTAGATTCAGATTGAATCAGATAAAAAAATCCAATCCAGTGATAGACCTAATCGTTAGTAGCATTTTTGAACCAGACGGTAAGGGTGTTCACCCTACCCTACGGATAGAAAATATAGTATTTTATCTTTCTACCTGATACTTTATGAAAAAGATTCTTTTTTGCCTACCTTACCCGATCAGGTGTGGTATTTTTACCCGACTTCCTACCCAATTAATCGGATAGAAAGTCGGATAAACACTTTTGTAGCTATTAATTTTTGGATCATTTTAACAATTCAATTAAATAACATGCATCAATTTAACAACATAATAAATAAATAACACTAAAACCTAAAACAACAACAACAACAACAATTACAATAAAACATAAGAAATCAAGAATATCAATCTATCATAATTGTTATACAAATACAACAACAATTATTTTAAGTTTAAACCATATAAAACATATTAAAATCATAAATGTTTTAATAGATCACTAGTTTAC